GCTCGTCCGCCCGGGGCTCCGTGCGCGGTGCGCGGTGCTCGGTGCCTTCAGCCCCGGGATCTGCAGGGATCCATCGTCCGGCCGGGTGGCGGCGGGAGGGGAGGAGGAGAGGAGAGGGTGCGCGTGCGCGCCTACGAGTGTCTGCGAGGGTGTCTCCGGGCCCGGTGTGCGCGCGGGGTCCCCGGCCCCGGGAGCGGAACCCAGGGCTCCCCTCCCCGCTGGCTCTCCCCCTCTTCCCAGCCGCTCTCGGCAGCGCTGCTTCGCTCGGGTTCCGGAGCCCGTCTCCCCACTGCCTGTGTGGCCCAATGGCTTGTATGTGTGCTCGTGTGTGCCTCTGTGTGTGTGTGTGTGTGACAGTGTGTGTGGGGTGTGCGCGCGCGCGGGGGTGCGCGCAGGAAGGAGGGTGTCTGCCCCCAGCGTCCCCCTCCCCGCGCTGTCTCCTTCGGATCGATGCTCCTGCCTCTTGCTGCTGCTTCCTCTGGTGACACACTTGCACGCGCGCACGCGCGCGCGCACACACACACACACGCACACACGGGCACACACAAGCTCCAAGTCACACTTGACTGATTTCAAGCACTTGCCTGTATGGAGATTCAGACACATAGAGATTGGAGTCGTACCATGCCATTCACAGACATACACACCACAAACGCCCTCCCAGCCCAGAGACCTGGCCCACAACAACACACAGAGCCCTCGCCGGAAGACCAGACAGGTCTTCACCTGTTCTTATCCCTCCTGCACACCAAGCACACACGCACGCACATATATAAACAAGCACACAGCCTTGACATCTATAGCCCCATCTTCGATCACTCAGCTTGTCTTCGTGGTAGTGGGGCGTGTTTGAAGTTCCTCATTGCCAAATCTCTAAAGGAACAGAGAGGAGGAAGGAGTAAAGGCCAGATGCCAGGGGGATTTGGTTAAGAATAAGAAAAGGGGAAAGGAAATAAAGGGCTCAGGATGAGGAAGGGCCAGAAAGGGGAGATAATATTCAGAAATGAAGCAGAAGTCCAGGGGTTGAATCCAGGCCTGGGGGCTGTTTCCTTGTAGCTCTCACCTCTCCCCTTCCCTCCCTTCCTTCTCCTTTCTGAGTGGCCTTGGGGGGCCCTCCCTATCCAATTAACAGAGAAGGAGCAATCAAGGAGAAGCTGTTAATTTGCTGATGCTCATTAGGGGCTCTTAGCACCGAGGCTGTTGAGGTCTGATGGTGTCAGATGAGAAGGAGGGGGGTGCGGCGACCAGAATTCTCTCTAGTGTCTCATTTGTTCCACTTACAGGACGGTGCAGCTCTGGGGAAAGAAAGGTGCGAAGGGAACCTACTGGACATGGTGCTTTTTTTTGTTTTGTTTTGTATTGTGTTTGTTTTTTAAGTTGGAAGAACCAAGTAAGGAGGAGGGGATGACACAGTGGGAAAGAAGTTGGATGGGAAGTTGTGAGGGTACACGAGGAACCCATGAGGGAACCCATGATGGAAACTGGAGGTCCCTAGTGCGAGTATGACTGTAGATCCATCCGCTAAGGCCCAGGGTACGCTCATCTGCCATGAAAAAAAACCGTTTTCCATTCAGATCTTGGTCAGGGGAGCTGTCCAGCAGCATCAGGAGGGGTCGGTGGGCTGCCATGTCTATGGGCAGCCACTGGGTGGCAGCACTCTCCCAGATACTTAGACTGTACTCAAAGGGGCATTTGGCAGTGGGAATTCACCTGAGAGGGTCTCAAAAACGGGACCAGAGGAGCCATTGGACCTAGTCTGATTCCTGAATACCAAATGTCCTCGGGAGTAGGGCGGGAGGGGGGCAGGGAGGGGAGAGACTACTTTAGAGCTTCTGTGATTTCCCCACCTTCCCACCTTCCCAGGCTGAGTGACACATAGAGTCTCTTCTAATGGCTGCAAATTGCTTCAATCACCTGGGATGTTACCGAGAGACAGAGGGAGCAGCGGGGGTGGAGGGAAGGTGATGAGGTGAGATGGAGGTAGGCGAGGACTGATTGAGGCCAATGAACAGCCTCAGGAAGAGTCTGGGGGAAGATAAAAGGCGTGAAGCAAGTGATCTCAGTTCTTCCCAAACCTGGTCTTACCATTTATTAGTATGGGCAGGTCCCTTGACCTCTCTGAGCTCCCATTTCCTCATCTATAAGATGTAAACAATATTTATTTCACAAGGTTTTTTTTTGAGGATTACATGTGATAATGCATGAAAATGCTTAGCTTTTAGTACTAAGCTTATACTCAGTACTTGGCTTGTATTTGGTTAATCCTCAATAAGTAAATAATGAATATTATTAGCATTAGCATTAGGATGCAGTTGTAAAACCACCAGTGCAACCACAGCAAGACAGACTAAACACTGATGCAATGGTGCCACCTTACATCAATTAACTCAGAATCTCTAGGGGTGGAATATAGATCTCCTAACTTCTGCTTGCTTGGCTGGTTGGCTTACTCTACTACTTGAGCCATGCCTCCAGCCCTGCTTTTTGCTGGTTATTTTGTAGAAGGTGTCCTGTAGACTTTTCTGCTTGAACTGTCCTCAAATCACCATACTCCAGATCTTAGCCTCCTGCATAACTACAATTACAGGTGTGAGCCACCAGTGCCTGATTTGGGAAGCTTTCAGGTTTCTAAGACCTCTAACACGCAGCCAATCTTGAGAAAACTTGCTCTCTATGATGTGTGGGTGTGAATCAAGACTTTATAGTATCACCGATGCTAGTTTTAGGAAGTTCTTTTGTATACTCAGTCTAAATCCTTTATGCTGTTATTTCCTCTTCATTTCAGATGTCCATTGCACAATACCTCCATTAACATTTTCCCTGTATTGAATCCCAGGATGGGCCCTGGGGAACAAGATGAAGAGTCACAGAATGCCTTCCCTCAAAAGCCTCCCAGTAGCAAGACAGAGATAAACATGTGGACAAGAGATTCTAGAATAAAGGCCTAGAATGAAATAGAGGGGTGGGCCAGAACAGAGTAGCAGCAGAGGGACATCCTGACTGGTGTTTGTGGGGCAGGGATGAAGAAAAGAGGAAGTTGGCATTGCCAAGGCCTTTATAAGATGCCACTTGAGGGATTTAAGGACTATGATTAGTGTCCTACTGCTTCTTTCTGCTTCTCTGGGTCCACCCATCTCTTGTCCAGACCCTGACACATCCTGGCCCCTCTAGTATCCTCCCAGCTTCATCCAGTCTCTGACCTCTGCAGTTCATAGGTCTCAGATCCTTTTTTTCTCCCTGGGACTTAAGAGGAAAACATGCCTGGGGAGGCCTCTCTCCTCAGTCCACTGGAGAGAAGCCTCTGACCAAGAACCATTCCAGAGTTTTAACATCATGCACATCTGGGTTCAAATCTGATTTCTGTCACACCCATGCTGGTCCTAGGCAGAGAACTTAGCTTGTCCAGATGTCCCTAGGATGCAGCTGATGCCTCTGCTGACAAAGCAATGCAGGCTTAGTAAAATAGTAGGTACTTCATTAACACTGGTAAGCTGGATGGTCGCCTCTAAAAGGCTGACGGGGGCAAATTCTCCATGGACGCTTCCCTTGCAGATGGCCCCATCTGTTGTAGGTGCAGAAGCACCCTCCAGCCTCTGAGAGATGGGTGGAGAGGAGGGTGGAGAGGGGAGGGGGGGAGAGGAGATACGTTCCCTTGGGACTCCCAAGCAGTGCTTCTCGCTCCCCCACGCATGAAATCACACGTGCCCCAATCTGTCTGCATCCACTTCATCTGCCAGCTCAGCAAATGCAGAGACAATTAAGGAGTTAATTAGCAGTAAGTTGGGAAGGGGCTGAGGACTGGGTACCCATCCACACACCCCTCCTTCACTCCATGCTTCATGTTGCCCCTTCCTATGACCTTCACCT